CACTCCTTCTTTTAAGTGACTTCCTCTGGGAAGCCTTCTCCAGCTTCCTGGGGCAGAATTCCTCTCTCCTTCCCTTCACTGTGTTTCTGCCTTGCCTCACCTGTACTCCCACTGTCCCAGTTAGCTCACTGAGTTGTAATTAAGTGTATGCATACTACTTTCTCTAAAGACTGTGAGCTTTTCAGGGCAGAGGCTATGCCTGACTCTTAAAACAACAGCAACAACAACAAACAAACAAACACACAAAAAGTTGTTGAACAATTGCATGGAAAAAGCCTCTGGACACAGACAAAAAAATTTTTTTTGATTGAGGCAAAATTCACTAACATGTTAAAAATCAACAATTTTATTTTATTTTTAAAATTATTTTTATTTATTTATTTATATTTTTCCTTTTTGTCTTTTTTACTGACCGGTAACGGGATCGCAACCCTCAGTGTCGCGCCCGTACTGGGGACCGGCAACAGGATCGCAACCTTCGGTGTTGCGCCCGCACCCTGCTCAGCCAGTGAGCGGGAACCGGTCTCCACATGGGATCCGAACCCTCGGCGGGACCAGGCCGGCCCAAAAAATCAACCATTTTAAATTGTACACCTCAGTGGTATTTAGAACATTCAGGATGTTGTACAACCACCATCTCTACCTAGCTCCAGAACATTTTCATCATCCCAAAAGAAAACCCCTGTACCCATTAAGCAGTCATTCCATATTTTCCCCTCCCCCCAGCCCCTGGCAACCACCATATTTTCCCCTCCCCCCAGCCCCTGGCAACCACTAATCTGCTTTCTGTCTGTGTTAGTCCGTTTCTGTTGCTTATAACAAAATACCCGGAACTGGATATTTTATAAAGAAAATGAAATTTATTGCTTACAGTTTTGGAGGGTGGGAAGTCCCAAGTCCAGAGAACACATCTGGTGAGGGTCTTGGTGGTGTTGACAGTGACCCAGGGAGCTCACATGTTTGAAAATGGCAGAGCAGAGAGAGACTAACCTCTCATGTGCTCTTCTTTTAAAGCCCTCAAAACCACACCCCTGACCACCATTATTAATCAATTCACTATGGCATGGTCCTACAGTCTAATCATCTCTTCAAGGCCCCATCTTTCAACTACCATAATAGGATTTCCCATCCTCAACAGTTACAGTTGGAATTAAGCTTTTAATGTATGAACTTTGGGGACACAGTTCAATCAATCCACAGCATTAAAATTTTTTGTATTAGTCCATTTCTGTTGCTTATAACAGAATACCTGAGACTGGGTAATTTATGAAGAAAAGAGATTTATTTTGCTCACAATTCTGGGACAGCTGCATCTGGAACAGGCCTTGGGCTGCTCCTACTCATGGCAGGAAGCCACAGGGCAGCAGCCAGCAGGTACAAAGAGAGCACATGGTAAGAGGAAACAAGAGGGGGGGAGGTGCCAGAGTCCTTTAAACAACCAACTCTCGTGGGAACTGATAGAGTAAGATCTCACTCACTACCCTCTCCCCACAGGGAGAACGTTAATCTATTCATGAGAGATTCGCCCCCCATTACCTAAATAACTCACAATACTTCTACATTAGGGATCAGATTTCAACATGAGCTTTGGGGGGACAACATATCAAACTCTATCACTGTCTCTATGCATTTGCCTATTCTGGATATTTCACATACATGAAATCATGCACTGTGTGGCTCTTTGTGTCTGGCTTCTTTCACTTAGCATAACATTTTCAAGGTTCATTTACATTGTAGTGTGTATCAGTGCCTCATTCCTTTCTTATGACTGAATAATATTCCATTGTATGAACAGATCACTTTCTGGTTTGTTATTATTTTTATTTTTATTTTTTATTTATTTATTTTTTAAAAAGATGACCGGTAAGGGGATCTTAACCCTTGACTTAGTGTTGTCAGCACCACGCTCAGCCAGTGAGCAAACCGGCCATGCCTATGTAGGGATCTGAACCCGTGGCCTTGGTATTATCAGCACCGCACTCACCTGAGTGAGCAGCGGGCCAGCCCTTGTTTTTATTTTTTTGTGGTGAGAACACTTAATATGAGATCTACCCTCTTAACAAATTTTTAAGTGTATAGTACATTATTGTAGACTATAGGTACAATGTTGTTCGGCAGATCTCTAAAGCTTATTCATCTTGCTTGACTTAAACTTTATGCCTGTTGATTAGTAAATCCCCATTTTCCCCTTCTCCCCAACCCCTGGAAACCACCATTCCACTCTTTTATTCTATACATTTGACGATTTTATTATTATTATTAATTAATTAATTAGTTAATTAATTATTTTTGGTGGCAGGCCGCTATGGGACCCAAACCCTTGATCTTGGTGTTAAATTTGACCATTTTAGATACCTCGAATAGGTAGGATCATGCAGTGTTTATCTCTCTGGATTGTTTCGCTTAGCATAATGTTCTCAAGCTTCATCCATATGGTTGCATATTGTACAATTTCCTTCTTTTTAAAGGATGAATAGTATTTCATTGTATGTATCCACCACATTTTCTTTATCCTTTCAACTGTCAGTGGATATTTAGGTTATTTCCACATCTGGACTATTGTGAATAGTACTGTAATGAACCTAGGAGTGCTGATGTCTCTTCAAGTGTGAATAGTACTGTAATGAACCTAGGAGTGCTGATGTCTCTTCAAGATCCTGATTTCAATTCTTTTGGATAGACACCCAGAAGTGGGACTGCTGGATCATATGACAGTTCTATTTTTAATTTTTTGAGGAATTTCCATACTGTTTTCCATAGTGGCTGCACCATTTTGTACTCCCACCAACAGTGTACAAGGGTTCCAATTTCTCCACCTCCTCACCACAACCATCCTAAAATGTGTAAGGCGATATCTCATTGTGCTTTTGATTTGCATTTCTCTGATGGTTAGTGATGAACACTATTTCATATACTTGTTGGCCATTTGTGTATTGTCTTTGGAGAAACGTCTATTCAAGTCCCTATCCCAATTTTTAATAGGGTTATTATTATTATTACTTTTACTATTGAATTATAGAAGTTCCTTATATATTTTGGAGATTAACCCCTTATGTATGGTTTGCAACTAGTTTTCTCCCATTCCATAGGTTGCCTTTTCACTCTGATGATTGTTTGCTGTGCAGAAGCCTTACAGTTTGATGTAGTCCCACTTGTTTATTTTTGTTGTTATTGTTGTTGCCTGTGCTTTTGTGGTAATTTCCGTGAAATCATTGCCAGGACAAATACCACCTTTTGTCTGCCCATTCATACACAGAGGGACATTTAGGCTGTTTCCACCCTTTGGCTATAGTGAATAGTGTTGTTATGAACATTTGCACACAAGTGTCTGTATGAGTATATGTTTTCAATTTATTTTGGGTCTATCCCTAGTAGTAGAATTTCTGGATCACATAGTAATTCTATGTTTAGCTTTTTGAGGAGCCACCAGACTGTGCCTGACTCTTTATCTCTTGTGCCCCATTCAGAAGATGGCACAGAAAAGGCCTCAATAAATACTTGCTACCTGGAAGGCTGGATGAATGAGGCAAAACTTAGACAGATGAATGGTTGGATGAATGGAAAGGAAGATGGAGGAAGGGAAAGGTGGATGAAGAGTTGGAAGGCTGGATGGCTTCTCTGACTCTCTAATTCTCTGGGTCTCTTCTACTCCAGGGTCCCCGCAGCTGCGCCTGGTGGCTGGGCCCAGCAGGTGTTCAGGCCGGTTGGAGGTGTGGCATGATGGGCGCTGGGGGACTGTGTGTGATGATAGCTGGGACATGCGCGATTCGTCTGTGGTCTGCCGGGAGCTGGGATGTGGAGGACCTCGGCAGCCAGACCCTGCTGCTGGCCGCTTCGGCTGGGGCGCAGGCCCTATTTGGCTGGACGATGTGGGCTGTGTGGGGACTGAGGCTTCACTCTCTGACTGCCCTGCTGCTCCCTGGGGGAAGCACAACTGTGCTCACAATGAGGATGTTGGAGTCACCTGCACTGGTAAGGAGGCTCTGGCCATCCACTTCCTTCAGGAGGGGTTCCTGGAGAAGGGAATGGGAGCTCACATTGGCACTAACATTGGGATGGAATGAACATGGTCCTGGTCTCTGAGAAACTCATAGCTCATGGAAGGAAAGCAATGCACAAACAAATCATTGCAAACCCATGTGACATTTTATAGTTTGGGAGGTTCCCAAAGCCACCCTCAGGTTTAATAATTCACCAGAAGGACTCACAGAAATTGGAGAAGATGTTATACTCAAGGTTATGGCTTATTACAATGAAAGGACACATTATAATCAGCCAAGAAAAGAGGCACATGGGCAGAGTTTAGGAGACCAGACATATGCTTCCAATTGTCCTCTCCCAGTGGAGTTGTGTGGACAACATTTACTTCTTCCAGCAACAGTATGTGACAGCTCACATAAAGTACTGCCAACCAGGGAAGCTCCCCTGAGCCTCGGTGTCCAGAGTTTTTGTAGGGACTTGGTCACATAGACAGGGCTAACTGCCTACATGGCTGACCATAAATCACATTGCTAAAATAGACTTTCTGGCATGGCCCAAATCTTCCAGGTAAACAAAGATTCTTTTATCAGGCAAGACATTCCAAGGGCTTAGAAGTCATCTCCCAGGAGGTAGGTGTAAAGGGTGAAACATTTCTTTGGGCAAGGTTAATCCTTTATTGTACACGTGTGATTATCAGAAAGATATAAGATGAATAGTGATGTCTGAAAGGATGGAGTCATTAAAACTGCTTGAAGCTAAGGCCCTTTCTCCCTCTTCCTGAGGACAATGAGGAGTCACAGAAGGATTTAAAGCCAGGGAATGGCCTGTCAGACCTGGGTGTACCACTCTGGTTGTTAGTGAGAATTGACAGAGAGGTATGGGGACCCATCAAAAGGTACAGGATGTGAAGCTGTGATGTGAAGCAGAAGCTAAGGTTTTGAGAAGGTTGGTTGTGAGGGGGCAAAAGGGGTCAGTCACATCTAGATTGTAAGTGCCAAGAAGGCATGGGACAGTGTTATCTTTGATTCGCTATTGTATCCCAGGGTCTAACAGAGTGTCTGGCTCACAAGAGGTGCTCGATAAATATCTGTGATGTGAATGAATGAATGAATAAATGATGAATGAATGGGAACTAGGTGACTGACTGGAGAGAAGGAGGGGCCTGCATGGATGATCTTGTCATCATGGTGTTTCCTTCTACTCTTTCCTCCTCACCCACTTTCCAGGGCCTCCTGGACTGGACTCCATCTCAGACCCCTTCAGCTGGAGCTGGATCCCTGGAATGGGTAGAGATCCGGATGCCTGGCTCCCGGGAGAGCTGGTCACCAAGCCCTCTCCAAGTCTGACCTCCAGTGTTCTGGAGAAAACAACCACTAAGGCCCCAGAGAAAATGCCTAAGAGTACTAAGAAATGGGTGACAAAAAATGCAAAGAGACCAACCACTCAATCCCCAGTGATACCAACCACTAAACACTCCAGGGGCCGAGGCACCCAAAGCCCCCCAGTAATAACCTCACGGATCACCACCACCCTGGCCACTGATGCCCCTCACAGACGGACCTCACACACCACCACAACGCTGACTCCTCAGGCCCACCAAGAATGGGCCACTCAAGGTCCCCAAGATATTACCTCTGAGGCCACCACCAAGCAAATCCCTCAGGCCTCCCTGGAGCCATCTGCCAAAATCCCAGCAGAAGGATCTCCAGAGTCATCCAAAGACCCAGGCCCTTCCCCTACTGCTAGCGCCACTGGAGAATCAGGTGAGTGGTGAAAATGTGCAGGGGACAGGGGAATGAAGGGAAGAGCTGACCCTTCCCTCCTGACCTAAGGGCCTTCCACTGGCAGGCCCTGTCCGTGTTCGTCTGGCTGACGGACCCAACCGGTGTGCCGGCCGGCTAGAAGTGTGGCATGCTGGACGCTGGGGGACAGTGTGTGATGACAGCTGGGACCTACGGGATGCCACTGTGGCCTGCTGGGAATTGGGCTGTGGAAAGGTCCGGCCCCGAGTGGGCAAAACCCACTATGGCCCTGGGACTGGGCCCATCTGGTTGGATGACATGGGTTGTAAGGGAAACGAAGCCTCGCTGAGCGACTGCCCCTCGGGGGGATGGGGGAAGCACAACTGTGACCATGAGGAAGACGTGGGGCTCACCTGCACTGGTATCAGGGATTGGCCCAGGGGAGGTGGCCAAGGGAATGGTGTCGGGGTAGGGCAGGGTGACTGCATCATGGTGGAATGTAATGAACTGGGCATGAGGGGGTTGGGGTGAGAGGATCCCAGAGTTGCTCCAGAACATTCCAAAAGGGGAGGGAGGAGTAGCAGCAAGGAGAGAGGAGACAGGGCTCAACCACTGTCCCGATTTCTCCCAAGGATACACAGACTATGATGACTATCCCCCCTGGACCTGGGACTCCACCTCAGGAGAGGACCTTGCCAAGGGGATCACCACAGCAGCACCTGGACACACTCTCTCCTGGGGCACCACCAGGCGCCCAGGGACTCCCTCCCCAGATACAAGGCACCTTCCAGACACAGGTGAGGGGCATAACTGGGGTGGCCGTAGGGACCTCCCTAAACCTCCATTCGCCCCCCTGCAGAGCTTTCCAGAAAGACCCTTCTAAATGAGCTGGTCTAGGGCTCAGAGACCCCAGACAGGTTTTTCTTGGCCCCAGAGACTCTGTTGTGTTCCTTGGAACATAATACTCTCCTGCAGATCCTAGAAAAGGAGACCACCAGGTGTCTCTGAGAGATCAGACCAGGCTAAGTAAACCCTGAACCCATGGTCCTCAAGTAAACCCCGAACCCATGGTCCTCAAGTAAACCAACAAGGTATGCCAAGAAGTGGCCATAATACACGAGCCTGGGCCTCTAGATCCAGGACCTTAGTGGAAATCCCCCCAGACCCCATGACCAAGGGCTACCCAAAGCAAAGCGAAACCTTACCTGCTCTCACAGCTCATGCTCTGGTCCAGGTCACGCTGTGGCTCAGATGTGGGTGGGGATACCTGGAGCCAGGTTCTTTTCTGCCTGTCCCCAGGCCTCATCCCCTCCCTCTCACCAGTGGGGTCAGCCTGTAGTGCCACAGCTCTGTCCTCTTTGCTCCGTGGCCCCTGTCTCCCTGTCACCTTTCATCTCTGCTGCCAAACCCAGGGCCTTGACCCGCCCTGGCCCCCATGTTGCCACCACTGGCAAGTTCTCCCACCTTCTGTCCCTGACTGCCAGGGCCTCTCCCTCTCTCTCATTTTCCCAGGGTCTGCATCTTTCCCCTGTTGTCTCACTACCTCTCCTGTCCATTTCTCATTCCTGCCTCTCTCACCGCCCCCACCCGTTTCCCTCATGGACCGTTTCACTCCCTCCCCAAGCGTCCCCATTCCTGCTCTCACTATTGCACTAGTTGTTTCTCTCACATTCTCCCTCCACTCCGGTCTCGCTCCCTGCTCGCTGTCTAGATCTGTTCTGGTTTCTGCCTTTGTTGCTCTGCGCCCCTCTGCCTGTTCTCTCCCGAGAGGCTCACCCTTCCTTGTCCCCTTAGGAGGATCCTGTGACCCGCGTCCTTTCCCGCCTTTTACTGGCGTTCAGCACGCATGCGCACGCGGGGTGAGGCGGGCCTCGAGGGGCGGCAGGGCAGGCGTTCCTCTACCTCGCTCCTCGTGATGTCACAGAACGCTGCGCCTTCTGATTGGCCAGCTGGCCCATGGCGTGGTAATGAAAGCTGGGCGAAGCGCACTAAGTCTCAGCAAATAGCCTTGCCATAGGGGAAAGGGAAGGAGGGAGCTGGCCCTGGAGGCGCAGTGACTTGGGGTGGGGGGGAACTCAAGTGATGAGTTAGGTCCCATCATCCCAGTTTCCTGAACCGAGGTGATGCTTCTTGTTCAAGGGTAGCCAGGGTTCCAGAACCTTTGTTCTCTGTCACCCAGCGAGGCCTCCCTGTCCCATAGTGCCCCCTCGTGGCAGACACAGTCAAATGCTGGGCTCCTGCAGCTAAGGAGGCAGCCTAGTCCCACCTTGGGGGATCCCTCCCAGTGGGGGAGAAGGCAGTAGATGAGCACAGATAAATGCAGAATTACAGACTGCACGAGGGAAATATCAAGGGAGTCATATGTACAACTTTAATAACAGGAAGACTTGGAGGGAGTTGCNGGGAAATATCAAGGGAGTCATATGTACAACTTTAATAACAGGAAGACTTGGAGGGAGTTGCGGGGGTGGGCAGTGGGAGAGACAACAGGCATGAATGTATATCTTCAGTAGAAATATAATCTTGAAAAAATGACAGCCTCTTTGAGACCCCGTTTCTTCCTCTGGAAAAAGTGTGTGTGTGTTAGGGGGGGTAGGATCCAGGATTGTTGGAAAGACTCAAGGAGAACTCACTCTGTGCTAGGCATGCACGATTCCAACAACCGGGTGACAGAAGTCCCATTGCTACACCCGTCTTTCAGATGGGGGGAAAAAAGCGAGGCTGAGAGATGTTAAAATTTAACTCAGGAGCCAGAGTTGGAATCCGTTTTAAACGGTTTCACACATGCTTGTTGGATTGGGAACGATGTATGCTGAAATAATTAGAAGCACCAGTCTGGAGTCCAACTCCTCCACTAGGTTTCAGTGGTGGCTTCACCAGGATTAGAACTAACTGAGTGACATTTTGCTTGTTGGAAGCAATGTGTGAAATATTTAAAACTGCAACACATTGGTTGTTATAGTTATTTGCTGAAAATGAACAACAGCTGCAGGATTACAGGGAAGGAGTGGTTATAATAGAGAAATCAAGGAAAACCTCACAGAGGAGATGGTCTTATATCACCAGCAGACTCAAGAAGGATGGGAATTCTCTAAGGAGCAAAGTCTGGAGGGGAGAAATATGCATTGCCAGAAATTTGCATTGGCATTGTTAATCTCTGCTAGCTTTAAACTCTCTAAAGGAACTGTATCAGTTTCTATTGCTTCCATAGCACATCACCACTAATTTAGTGGCTCGAACTAATTATCTTGCAGTTCTGTAAGTCAAGTCTGACAAGAGTCCTTGGGCTAAGATTAAAGTGTCAGCAGGGCTGTGTTCCCTTCGGAGGATCTATGGGAGAATCCATTTCCTTTTCTTTTCCAGCTTCAGAGCCCACCTGCATTCCTTAGCTTATGGCGCCTTCCTCCTTTTTCAAAGCCAGCAGCCTTGCGCGTCTCTCTGACTTTTCCT